GCCCTCATCTGTTTCAGCCTGGGGATATTTGCATCTTCTCTTAAACACACGTCTTAATCTGTTTGGACATTGATGGCCAAATTAGACAAGTGACTTGTTCAGAGGACAGTTTACAGTGCACCTCATCAGCCTGGGCTTTGGCGCTATGCTTCAGACTCCAACTGAAAGGCATTCAAGGTAATCACTGCTGTCAGCTGTTGCTTAGAGGGTCACATAGGCCAAAGCCAGTCCCAGAACATCCATAATGTTTACTAATGTGTACATCTAAGTGCAAAAAGTAGTCCTAGTGTTCAGACCGATGGATGGATGGATAGTGATAACAGAGAGATCGAAACAAGTGGATTTTCCAAATGCTGATATAGAGACAATGTTCACAGTGCAAATGTCCATGTGTTAAGTTTTCATGTAACAGTCTTGTTGAATAAATATACAAAAATCAACAGAACCTTTTAGGTTAATCATTAGACTGCTGGTATAAAACTGTCTCGTTCTGTTTGTGCAGGAATTCAAGCGATACTAAATGCTTTATGAAAGATCCTTACATTTGATTCTTCCATGTTTAGTTTGTTCAATCAGAAGTTCTTTTCTCAGACAGCATCTAAAGCAGAAGTATGTAGTTTGAAACAAGGGCCACACAAAAGCTACTTGTGTCGACACTGCAGGTGGACGTGGGAATCCAGTCAAGTACTTTTCTCCAGTCAGACCCAGGTTCCTTATGTGGTCAAAGCTATCTTGGCCACCCCATCAGACCTTTGGTCTTCAAAGTGTGATGAATGTTGTAACTTTGCATGGATGAAGCAATTAGCAACTAGATCACATTTTAACAAATGAGCTTCTCTTCATCACTAGGTCATCATAGTTCGCTTTAATTGCACAACAACTGTGGTGGTTTCACCTCTTTCCCTGTGCATATGGGTGACCGGTGCTAAGTGTGTAACAGTCAAAACTCAGCAGTAGTGAACCGGACATTCACTACAGTGAACCCTAACCCGGCAGCTGCAGCACTTTCAGGTTTCCCTAAACTTTAACAGGCGGACTGATATTTGTTTGATTTGATGAACGATATTTCATGCCTACAGCCCTTTTGGGCTAAATCAAATGTTTTAATTAAATGCTGCTCTTAGATCTGGAATCCCAGCGATCCCTGAGCTCCATGCAGCTGTTTTGGATGGTAAGCACAAGAAAAAAAGGCATTATGTCTACATTATTCACAGTACAGGTTAAGACTTTTACAGATTTCTAAAAATGTACACATAATTCCTGAAAGGGGAGAAAAAAATGATTGTAGCTTAAAATACTGTTTTAGGAAGTGTTCTACACAAAACTTTTTAATAAAAAGCTATATTTAAAAAAATAATAAACCTCCACGGGGCATTTAGAGGTGTGCAGAATGAATGTACAGTTTAATTCTTTAAAAGTAAAATTAAAAAAATGTATAAAAATTTTTATTTGTTGGGCATGACACCGAGTTTATGTTTACGCTGTTGTGCTGAAAAGTCCACTCAACAAGGCGAGGCTGGGACTGGGTAAAATGGTGGACTTGACAAGTCAAGCAGCTGATTCTGAGTCCACAAGATGTTCTAATGGTAAACACTGTTGTAAAGTAAACGTATTAGTAGGAATTAGACCTTATCCTGTACAGTTTGTCACAACATGGTGCTGGATTGTGTCGGCCAACATCCCGGCGGCTGGAAAATTAGTCCTGGTGTTGAGATACCACCTCAGAACACCAGAGTTCGCCAGAGTGCCCATGTTCCATATTCAACCTTTACATATAAAAATATTATATTAAAAGAAATAAACAAGGCCCCAGATCATTATGAAATATTGAAGCAGTGTTTAAATCTCCCACATTGTTAATGGGGTCAGATGGGCTCCAGGTGCTTTTTTTTTTTTTTTTTTCATATTTTTAGGAGTGTACCACTTCACCCTTGCCAATGGATAAACTATCAACCAAGTTTAACCACCCCCCTTTCCTGGAAGAGTCACCTGATAGGACAGCAAAAGGGTTAATGCATCAACACCTGGCTAATCCATGCCTATCTAAGTCATTGTTTAGTGAACGCTGTATGACTCAAAGAGAAGATGAAAGGATAACTCAAACACAGCTAAAACATGGCTGACACAGGACCGTTTCACAATTTCATGACACAGCACTGAAGTAGTGGCAATGCTTACTGATGTGTTTGTGCAGCGCAACTTAAGAACATGTGCAGAGCATTTCACATCCATCGTGCTTTTAGATACATTTTAGTTAGTTTAATTCATACGTCTTCTGTGATAGAGTAACGGTACATCTTACATGTTTAAATAACAAAAAGTGCATAAGTTATGAAAGATGAATTTCTGTGCAGGGATGTAAATGTTTCAGCATGCAAGAGGCTGTAGTGTTGTTTGCACCAAAACATCTGCTGTTTAACACCACAGCCTGGTGGCACAATGTGCAGGAAATTAGAAAAGGACAAGACAGCTTTTACTGTCAGGGACATGGATTCTCACACATCAGTAAATACTGAAGCAAGTTTTGTAACAGCTTAAGATTTCACAACAATCAGTTTCTCCAACAGCCAAAGATAAGTTCAACTTCCATCTGCTGCTTAGACGTTTTGAAACAGCCAGCATGTGGAACGGTTGGCTGTCGTAGGGCTGCAGGAGATAGGATGGGAGATTTCTGACTTAAGCTTTATGCATTTTGCTTCATGTTAGCACAGCTTCCTTTGGGCTCTGGCAGCTGGATTGGTGACCACTTACAGAGAGGCTCGTTTTTGTAGCCATGTCACAGAACTGTTGTATGAAAAGGCCCTTTCACTGTACTGTACTGTAGGTATATGAGTTCAGTCCTACAGATGTTTAAATGAAAACTTCCCATTTTAAAACTCTCTCTGGTGCGCTCAAAGCTTTGCAAACTGGACACTAGATTCAATTCCCTAAAGATCTTACCTGATTTGTCTTGTAGCTGCTTTTACTGTAGTTTGTAAATGTGCCATGCTCATTTTAAACAAAATAATCGTATTTTGCTAATTTATGTAGGAACTCTCCTAAAATGTATGGTTTTGTGAAATTTAGATGGAACAGATAAAGGGAGAGTGCCTCAGTAGCATAAGGTTTAGATATACATGGTAATTTTCCAGCATTGCATCTCTGATTGTAGCAAAGCAAAAGTCAAATAGTTAGTAGTAAGATGTTAAGTTTACCTCTGGGGGCATTTAGACTAACATCTGCATTACCATGAGCAAACATTTAAACAAATTCAACTGATTAATGTTTCAAGAATGACGTTTTTCAACAGTTTCAATTAGTTCTGTTTGTAAATAAAAATGTGTTCCTCATAAATTATAAGTTTAAGACTATCACTGGAAAGCATTCATGTATACAGCAGAAGAAGCATTGTTTTCTCTGATGGGCTGTTGACCCCACAGTGATGGCCCACATATGCGGGCCAAGTCCTGTTGGGCCCCTACCTGGCCTCAAATGATGGGGCCCCCACGTGCCCTACATTTCACGATGTCTGCATGGGCCACATTTTAGCCCAGAGAGATCCCACATGGGTCTCTAAAGGGCATGTTTTCTGGGCACTTTGTTTCTGAAAAATCCAAAATAATCATCAAAATATGCCAAAAATATGTTTCTGTTTATATGTTTCTGTTTATGTATTAGCAGACACTTTTGTCCTAAATGACTTACAGGTGATGATGAAGTCAGCAGGTTGCCCTTGAGGCTAACAACAAACACTGATCAGTCAATCCTAGGTGGCAGTGAGGCAGCAAAATGAATCATAAAGGGAAGTGAACAAGGAGTGGACAGTAGAGTGGGGGATGGGTGCAGGGAGGGTGCTAGCTTAGAAGAGCTGAGCCTTCAGGAGTTTCTTGAAAATCAAAAGGGAAGCCCCTGTTCTGGTAGTGCTTGATAGGTCATTCCACATCTGTGGCACGACACATGAAATGAGTCTGGATTGTCCTGAGCGTGGTGTAGGCACTGTAGCCGACGATCCTTTGATGACCGGAGCAGCCGAACCGTGACGTAAGCCTTTGCAAGAGGTTTCAGGCAGATGGGAGCCGTACCATCCAGGACTTTGAATTTTACTGTTAGCGGTTTGAATTTGATGTGTGCAGCTAACTGTATCCAATGGAGCTCAGTGAACACAGGAGTGACATGTGCTCTTTTAGGCTGATTGAAGACCAGACGCGCCGTTGCATTCTGGACCTTTTGAAGAGGTCTCACAGTACAGGCTGGAAGACCAGTTATATAATACGAAGATAAAAATATAAGTGAACATTATTTCTGGCTGTCAGTGTTTCATGTCTTTGATTTTACTAAAGCATAAAGTAAAGTGTAGTGTCAGACATTTAACTTTAAGAATCAAAAACTCTGAATTTTCCATGAATCTTACTGATGATATAAATGATGTATAATGTTACTAAAATCCTCCTTCATGTCTAAACTGCATCTTTCTTCACAGGAAGTTACTTATGATTATCACTTTGAGAGAGAAAGAGAGAGAGAGAGAGAGACAGAGAGAGAGAGAGAGAGAGAGAGAGAGAGAGAGAGAGAGAGAGAGAGAGAGAGAGAGAGAGAGAGAGAGAGAGAGAGAGAGAGAGAGAGAGAGAGAGAGAGAAACTACTGCTGTGATGTCTTGTCTGTATGTTAAATGTGTGGTTGTGTTTGCATATCTTCTGGTGTCTTTACTTGTCCCTCTGTCCTCTCGTGTATATGCGCCCCCACCTTCCTCCTCACATTACAGGAGATTTGGATGGCCATTGGTGGGACCATGCATCATGGCACAGCAGCGAGGCCTCCCCAATGTCTTTGGTGAGACATGCGGAGCCCAGCCCTGACACCCCGTCCCCCACCCCGCCCGCCCTTTAACCCCATCTCTTTCTCTCTCCTTTCCCATCCCTTGATCTGAGAGTCTTTTGTCATTTCATGTTTTCTTTGTTTTATTTACACCTTTGCATGTTGTTTTTTCTGTTTTTCTTTCTGTTTTTATCCCACACCTGTAGGGGAGAGTCAAAGGGGAAAAAGAAAAACTATTGAGCAGGCATTTATGTCCGAGCCGACACACACCTTATCTGAGAGGCAAAAGAAAATGGTGCGCTTTGGGGGACACTCATTTGAAGAGGACTTGGCATGGTGTGAACCACAGGTTAAAGACTCGGGAGTTGATACGTGCAGTAGCACTACCCTAAACGAGGAGCATAGCCATAGTGAGAAGGTACTGAGACAATCTAGCCTGCATTTTGTGATTATTCTTTATTATTGTTTCACTACTTACCCATTCAGTATTTGTTTACTTTCTGTCACTAAATGTAACTAGATTAGATGTTTTCTTGATTCATTTCAAGTTGTTTAAATTAATTTCTCCTGCGAATTGGTTTCCTGTTGTTCGGTTACCTTTGGCTCCACTTTGCTCAGTGTTGCCAAAAAGTCTTTTGGGAACACTCTCTTTGCTTGCTACTTGTACTTGCTGTTTTGCTCTCCCAACAGAACACACACACACACATCCTCTGTTATGTCATGGCTCACAGGAATGATGTGGGTCTCTTTTAGCTGCATGCTCATTCTCCTTGGTATATTGTGTTCTTGCTCTGCAGTGTCTAGCCCCGTAGAGACACCTCTACACAGGCTCGTCCCTCTCACTCTACCTCCTTACCCCACAGAACCCAGTACAGACAGAACCTGCCCATTGCCCATCTTCCCACTCACTTAGCGAAACCAAAGTAGAACACAAAACTAGGAAGGTTGAATTCCTTTTTGCACAACAAGTTTCAAACATTTGATTTTCTTTTTTCCCTTTTTTCCCTTCACCTTTTATTTATTGTGCTTTCCTCTACCTGAGTCCTATGGCTGTTTTCTTCTGTCAGCGTTACATTGTTTTGTTTTAAACCAGACACCCAGTTGTCCACTTCATTTGGCTCTGTATCACTGGCTGCCTTTTACCCCTGTTTTGCCGTCATTTCTCCCTCACTGGTGCAGTTGATGGTGGTTGTATGTTTGTGTGCAGTGGAGCATCAAAGTTACCCCGGGTTTCCACGGGAGCCGTCAGCAGCACGTTACTGCAGCAGCACGTCTTGCTCACGTAAGCTGCTGCTTGGCCCTTCCCACGAGACGCGAAGCAGCAGGGGAGCAGCTGTCACCGACCGAGCACGAAGTCACACGAGTGACTTCGTCAGTAAACACAACAACAAGCAGGAGAAAACTACAACATGGTTTGTGTTTTATGTTCTGTCCGTTTTATAATCGCCAATACGGACCTGAAAAACAAAGGAGACCGCTAGCTAGGTGATAACTTCTCACGGGGCCGCACATTTAGTAACCTTTTTAAAAGTGAAGCAACCTGAAGGCAGTACGTTCTTTATTCTGAAAATCTCGGTAGCTTCGCTCCGTTTCCGCGTCCAATTTCCTGTCTTTCCTTCCCCAAAAATGTCGAACTTGACCCGTTTCAGAGGCGTCGCGCGTAGAAAATAGAACCGGCGCGTAAAGGCCGCGACATGCTGCTCCTGAGACGCGGCCGACTCGCGCTGCTGACGGCTCCAGTGGAAAAGGTTCTGTTGACCACAGCGGTTCCTATCAGCAGCTATGACGTGCTGCTGCAGTAACGTGCTGCTGACGGCTCCCGTGGAAAGCCGGGGTTAGACTCTGGTCCTCTTCCTCCTGTTTGAAGAAGAGTGTTGGGGCTGCTTGCTTTACTCTGCATGGGATGCTGCATGATTCTCACTCCACCCCCGCACCGGCAGGTTTACACAAGCTCTGGAAGTGGGACCTCACCCACTGACGAATTTGTATTTCATATGGTTTAAATAATTGAGGAGAACTCATTCAAACATTAAGCAATCAGCAGAGTTTGTGTGAACTTTCACCCCCAAAGTCTCTGTGTCCCTAAAACCGTCTCCTTTGATTTGAACTGATCAGATTCCAGTGGGTGAGTTGTTAAGGAAAAGATGTGTTATTGCTCTGACCTTGTAGCACCCGGTGACATGGCAGCCGTCCAAAGATGGGGATCGCCTAATTGGTCGAATACTGCTCAACAAGCGTATGAAAGATGGAAGCGTGCCTCGAGACTCAGGAGCTCTGCTTGGTCTTAAGGTACACCTATAAACTTTTTGTTTTTTCTTGCAGCTTGCACATGCGCCTGTCTCTGTAAAAATATGACAGAGAAGAAAAATTCAGTTACTTTACCTAAAAGAAAACGATTAAATCTTGCATCTCCTTATATTGTGTTCAGTGATTATGTTGTGTTTCATCGACGTGCATACTGGATAAAGCTATGTAAAGCATGAATAATGAGCCTGTCTCTCTGTGTGTGTGCGTGCATGCGCACATGCATGCATGCATGCGTGTGTGTGTGCACGTATGTGTGTGTGTGCGTGCGTGCGTGTGTGCATGCATATGTGTGTGTGTGTGTGTGTGCATGCGTGCACACTTGCGTGTGTGTGTGTGCGCGTGCGTGCGTGTGCATGCGTGCGTGCATGTGGTTTAGTGTCATTGTCATGTACTATAAGCAGATGAGCTGTAATGTGCATCTGTTTACCTGAACTCAGCTATAAATACAACATAATTGGTAATGAACAGTTGAGTATTATTATTATTATCATCATTATTATTATTAGTAGTAGTAGTAGTAGTTTTTATCTATTTTTCTAGAACTAAGTGATTGTTTAACATAATGAGAACAGGTACTGCAGATGATAGAAAATAGATATTTGGATTTATTTTATCAACTTTTTGAACCAACTGATAGTGAATAAATAACTTTGTATTTGATTATCCTAAACCTAAGAGAAATTTTTCAGAACATTTTTCATAAATAGGAATTTTATGAATAGTTATACACAAAAAAATGAAGCAATAAATTCTGAACACAAATGCGGTCACGGAACACTCACCCCTCCCCTCAAGTATCTTCCCCGGGTCATCTACGTTGTAGATCATCACCACCAGGTGTGTGAATTTGTGTGTGTAACGATGAATGATACACTGTATAGTGTAAAGCGCTTTGGAATCATCAGACTCTGACAGGCGCTAAACAAGTGCAGGTGATTTATCATTTGTCATTCAACAGGCAGGGGTCTGGGCTAAAAATGTACATGACAGTATTTCTCATTGGTTAAATTCAGCTCCTAAGAGGACATCGATCGGCCCGGAGCATAATGGTGCCAGTTGAGTTAGTTTTTCCATTTATATTAATCTACAATAGACGATATTTATATTCAGTGTTCACAGTTCAAAAAAAGTCCCTGACAGCCTAGAAATGCTTTGTAATTTCCACATTTTAATCCTATTTTACAAATTGTAGCTTTATTAGTCACCACCTTGCCTTAGCAAAGCATTTCTTCCTGTAGACGTTTTGCTCACTGTTGCATAAAGCCTGTCATGTGGACAAAGAACCGAGAGCAGCAAGATGGGAAAAATCATTACTGATTGAATGAAACTCCTGAAATGGCATGTTTGTGTCTGCTCAGTGCTTCTGTGCATTTCTGTCCGCTCAGCAGCTGCAGCGAACCAGCTCGGCAGTCCAGCCAGTCAGTCTATCAGTCAGGCTGCCAGCCGCGCCCTCACTGACCCCCCCCCCCCCCCCCCCCCCCCCAGCTCCGGTCTGTTACATAAAGCCATTTCATTTAGTAGCAGACCTCTCTAAGCTTCTGTGTATGTTTGCATTGCACTGGCATTTATTTGTATGATGCCAGTGGTACAAATGTACAGCTTTAGCCTGTGGCTGCGCATGCTTACAGATCAACAGGGCCGCACCAAAGTGCGCCCTTGGGGAGTGAAGCAGAATCATAGATGATGTTTTAGAGAAGGATACGTTATCTTCTACCAATGGCCCTTTTCTTATCATGCTTTTATTGAGGATTCATTTCTTTCAGGCCAAACACAAGCCCCCCACCCCAAAACACGTTTCTAAGCCTCTGTTCTGTTGCTACCATCTTTATAGGTTATCCCATGCAGAGTTAACGTGGTGCATGAAATATGAAATTATAACAGCACAGCATTAGGACCCATTTATAAACGCAATTCTGCTCTACATCTCTGTGTTTCCATAGGTGGTCGGAGGCAAGATGACGGAATCTGGTAGACTTTGTGCTTTCATCACTAAAGTGAGGAAAGGAAGTTTAGCAGACACTGTAGGACACCTCAGACCCGGTAAATACAAAAACTGTTAGAATTAAATGATTCAGACCCTGATGGTGTCTGTTTCTCAGTAACATTAGTCTGATGATCATTACGCTCTCCCATGTGGTTGTTTTTGCAGGTGACCAGGTGCTGGAGTGGAATGGAAAGCTTTTACAAGGAGCCACATTTAAAGAAGTTTACAATATAATACTGGAATCCAAGCCTGAGCCGCAAGTGGAACTGGTGGTCTCCCGGCCTATTGGGTGAAAATTCCCTCAAACACAGCAGTTCTGGTTGCACTCAGCACCAACACACTGTAACAGACTCAGTAATGGATTAAACATGCTTTAAAGTAGTCTTTCTTTTTATTGCAGCATAGTAGGTACTCATTATTCATCTTATTATGTTTTTGTGCACATGAATGTGTTTTAAACCCACAAAACATCAGCAAATATACAGACACCTAAAGAAAAGGCTGTTTAAAAAAATACATCAAATAAGAATTCCTACTGAGCACTGATGAATTAGCAACCTGTCGTAAATGAACACTAGTGGGGAAAAGCTATTTGTCATCAGAATATGACATCACTAATGTCCTTAGTCAAAGGAGTTTCATGTAGTGGCGTTTGGAAGTGTGTGAACATTTTTCCTCCTGCTTCCATGGAGCACAATAATGTTGCATTTAAAGTTTATTGGATTCAAATTTAAATGTGGAAAGGAGCAGAGTGTCTTCTAACTGTACTCCTAGTTGTTCAACATCTGGTCCCATCTTCTGCTTTGATCCTCTATCAGGCTTATTCCTGATGTCTCAAAAACCATGAGAATGTGTTTGAAGAAGTTAAACTTTGTCATCATTATTCCATTAAATGCAGTTTGTGTCTGCAGTTCATGAAAGTCCTTTATGATGTTTTTACCACACAATGATGCTGAGATGATGATAAGATTTTGATGTATTGTGCAGCTCTAACTTGAACTCTGCACCAAGAGTTTGTTTACATTCACACTCAACTTTCTGTTGTATCAAACATTCCTTCATAGTTTCCTTCCTCGCTTTCTTTTCCAGAGATATTCCAAGAATACCTGACAGCACACATGCACAACTGGAATCAAGTGAGTGGTGGGATAAGCTCCCAGAAAGTAATCATTTGATTCACCATAACCGAGTCATTCTAGTTCAAGATGGCTGCCACAGCACACCTTAGCCAATCGTAGCCGGTGTCGGTGCAGGATCGGCTCAGGGTTCTTCGACTGCTGATGACGTCACATTACTGCAAATCTACTCGGCTTTCACACACATGTTTTGGAAAGACATCAGCAGTTTTGTTAATAAATTCTTGTTTGTTAACAAAAATGTTTTCTTTATAATTGTAATTTGTTAATAAAACACCATATTATCTTTGTTTTGTAAAGAATGTGAAACTGCATAAAACCAACATCGGACTGACAAACAGTAGAACAGTTCTTATATGTGAAGCCATATCTGTTTGTATTGTATGTGGAGTTCGTCTGTATATTTCCTTAGTAGTTTTCTAAATACATTCTTTGATTCACAATATTGCTTGGTGTCTTTCAATACAGTTCTTATATTTTATTTTGCCCCATTTCATCAACATCAAGAGCTTTTGAGGGTCACCGTTTATCATTTGCTTATATTTTACATTTCCTTTAGAAATTCAAACATATTTTCTCCAAAAAGTGTTGATTTTTGGACTACAGGACTACAACCGCTAAGACTACGACCGCAAATTTGTTCTGACCAATCAAAATCATAACGTGGTAAGGTCACTTCCGTAAGCTTCATGTTCAGCCAATCAACTATTTTGACGTCATCGGCAGTCGAAGGCCCCCAGCCGATCCTGAACCTGAGCAGATCCTGTACCGACACTAAATCGATGACTATTCAGTTATATTGGTTAGCAGCTCAGTCGTTCATAACACATTGACTGAGAGTTGTGTAAAGTTGCATTTGACTTTATTCATTAGAATGACTTTCACATGATAATTTATCAACATAGAAGGATCTTAGTTGAAAACCTTGGCATGAAAGGTGGCGGGAATGACATTCCTTCAGTGAATACCAAACATTTAACCATAGTTATGTTTTTGTCCTGATGGTGATCATCTATTTTATCTGCATATACTCTTTATTCCTATGAAACTCAAAATACAACCAAAAACAGTTTTTCTGCTTTTTTCAGGTTCAAGCTCTTTTGAGTCTCAGAAGATGGATCGCCCGTCAATCTCCGTCACATCCCCCATGAGTCCCAGTATACTGAGGGATGCCCCTCAGTATCTGTCTGGACAGCTCTCAGTGAGTGACCTCAGCCTCGCGATCAGATAAAACCCCATATTTATGCTGGGAGTGTTAGTAAGCATTATGCTAGTTTTAAGAATGTTTGATGAACATCTTTTACAACAGAAACCTGACTTTACACTTTTGTTGAGTCTTCTATCGTTTGCATTCCTGTCTCAGTCTGTCCATCTGGCCTTCTGCCAACCCAGCACAGGACTGAAGATCAGGTTACTTTGTATGTTGTCCATTATCCAGTATAAATACTCTCTTGGGGTAAATAGTTACAGGATTGCATTGAAGGTTTGGAACACTGAAAAAAAAAGGATTATTTCTGATTATAATCAGTCACTCTGAGTTTTTCAAGCAGGCTGAACATGAAAATAATCTCCTACACCTAGCTCCTGCACACGCATCTGATAGAAAATAGACATTGAAACTCCACGATTAGAAAAGCCTGACAGATCTATGTCACACTGTCACTTAACATTTAACTCATTCACTGCCAGCCGTTTCCTGATCGCTAAAAGCCCTTCGCTGCCAGCGTTTTTCTCTGTTTTTACTGTTATTTTAAGAGTCACAGAACGTTGTGCGCTAGGATGACGTTGACGCCAAAACAACCAAAACAAAGCGGGGACTCACCTCTTACATCAGGAAGAATCCGCCTGTTTCCAGCGTTATCCATTCTTTCATAATCCGTTGTTGAATTGTGATCAGCAGAAGCTTTTCCGGTTCGCGCCTCACTAATTTTTACAGCAGCGGGCCAAAATGATCTCCTAACACATGGATTTTCTGCTTCTTTATCATGTGACGTATGACGTATGTGGATAAAGATCGGCTTTAGAGCTGAGATGCTTGTTCTCATGGTGCGGGGGCTCGTTCCAATGCCCACACACAGTGTGTTTACATGCAGCCAGTAACCCTTTTAAAACCCGAATATTCACAATAACCCGGTTCCGCAGGTCCATGTAAACACCGCCAAAAACCCGGATATGCTCATAACCGGGTTTTTAAAAACCCGGTTACTACACCTGGGGTAATTAACCCTTTTCTAACCTGAATGTTTGGTCGTGTAAACGCATATCGGGATATCCCCATCAAAGCGTGTGTTCTGTGCATGCTCTGTTCGCAAGGAATCTTGGTCTTTTGAGTAGCGAGATGTCTTGTATGCGCCAGAACACCGGAAGTAAACAACAAGTTGGGAGCAACATGGCGAGTCGCGGCACAGCACCACACTTTTGGAGTGACGAGGAAACTAAAGGGCAAACAAACGCGGTCGCTATCTCTTCCGAACTGGGAAACATGTTGTTGTTTTCACGGATACCGGAACAAGAAGAACCAGAAATGACGCATTTTGCGTCTGGACGTAGTCCATACGTCCTGACGCTACCCCAACGTCCGCATTTAAATCGGGTTATGCAAGTTAGGGGTAACTCTTTCTATTTATGCTTGTAAACGGGTTATTCTGATCAACTCAGAAACCCGAATACCGACCTTAACCCGATCATAACCCGGATATTGGCTGCATGTAAACGTAGTCACAGTAAAAACATGCAAATGACGACTTTAGTCGTCATTGACAGTGAATGAGTTAAGGCCTCACCCATCTGGACTCACAACGGGGAAGGCTGTTGTTGGTTTAGCATCCAGGAAACAGGAGAGAACGTCTCGACAAGTAGAAGCTAAACGTTAGCATTTGCAACTCCACCACGCAGCAGAACTCCTTCGAGTTTGTTGTATCTGTGGAGATAAAGCAAATTTTCTAAGCAAACAGAGTCAGTGGTAGAGTCATGTTGCTGTTATTCCATCAGAGACAAGATGTCCAAACATCAGGAAATAAGATTCCAAATCCTGCATTGTTAAGTTCTCCTCTGATGTGGTTGAGTCACAATCAGAGGTGGGACATCCGAATATCAGAAAATAAATCAGAAAACAAGACTCCGAATTCTACCGTCTTCTGCCACCCTCTACTTTGACTAACTTCTACTTCCTGAATCAGGAGTACAGGAGCTTTTTCCCACAGAGATCGACTCAGAAGGCATTCATTTATACTAGAAACCTCTGCAAATGTATAGAAAAAACAGTGAACTTGGTCTTTAAAATGCTAAAAAAGCTAACATCTCAAGCAGGTCTGCTGTTTAAATTAGCTTTTTAAGATCTTCAAAGAATGGTTTTTCTGTAAAAGTAATTACTAATTAAACTGCAGGCTAGAATAAGGTAAACACATGTTTTGAAGACCATTACAGCTTAGACAGAATGGAATAAGAATGAACACACAGAGATGTGAACCACATACTTTGGCCACTGTGTTTGAGTGTATTGTGAGTTATCTTTTTCTTTTTCTTTTCCCCTTTTCCCCTTTAATTTTACTTATCCAGAGCCAAAGCCTTAGTAGAAGAACAACGCCTTTTGCCCCTAGGGTCCAGGTAATGGGCCCAGTAATGAGGGCACAGACTGTTTGGTTTTTCCTTATAGACTTTTTTTTTCCATACTTTGGGAAATGCATTCTTGGGGAAGTGAAACTCCAGATTTCCCTCTTATTTGAGTGCATTGTGTCATTATGTCCAGTGTTTTTTGTTGCTATGATGGCAATCATTAGCTCTTATTTTACTCATTTAAAATTCTTTTATACTATCCCTGCACTTTAATGCATGAATAACAAATTTTCAGATTTAGAGACAATCTCCTGTTGCCTTTTACTTTTACTGACTTCAGTGACTGACTTTCTGGATAATTTGGATTTTTAAAAGGCAAAACAGGAGGTGGTCTCTATACTTTCTCAGGACCAAGGACTTGGTCTTTTCCTGCTGCAGTGGGCCATGTAACCAAGTGTCAGTGACACAAACCTTACACTTAGAAGAATTTCTCCTTGAGTGATTTGAAATCATCCATATCATCAGATCCCAGCTGAATGCGGGTTGGTTTCATGTTGCAGGGAAATGACACCAAGTTCACTGTCCTAGTTAAACCAAATTTCCTTTTTCCCTTTGGATGAGAGTTTATAAACAAGCAAATTGTACTTGCCACATACTAAAGAAGGATGTTTTCTATTCATTCATTTACTTATTTGGTATATTTGACATGAAATAGCTTAGGTTAATTTGGATTATTGATTTAAGAAAAAACATAGAGGCTGATGTTTTAGTTTGGAGCCTAAATCACCTACCTACCTACCTACCTACCTACCTACAGACCGACCGACTGACCTACCTACCCAGCTACCCACCTACCTACCCAGCGACCCACCTACCTACCCAGCGACCCACCTACCTACCCAGCTACCTACCTACCTACCCACCCACCTACCTACCTACCCAGCGACCCACCTACCTACAGACCGACCGACTGACCTACCTACCCAGCTACCTACCCAGCGACCCACCTACCCACCCACCCACCTACCTACCTACCCAGCTACCCACCTACCCACCCACCCACCGACCTACCTACCCAGCTACCCACCTACCTACCCAGCTACCCACCTACCCACCCACCCACCTACCTACCTACCCAGCTACCCACCTACCTACCCAGCTACCTACCCAGCGACCCACCTACCCACCCACCCACCTACCTACCTACCTACCCAGCTACCCACCTACCTACCCAGCTACCTACCCAGCGACCCACCTACCCACCCACCCACCTACCTACCTACCCAGCTACCCACCTACCCACCCACCCACCTACCTACCTACCCAGCTACCCACCTACCCACCCACCCACCTACCTACCTACCCAGCTACCCACCTACCTACCCAGCTACCCACCCAACTACCTACCTACCCAGCTACCCACCTACCTACCCACCCACCTACCTACCTACCTACCTACCCAGCTACCCACCCACCTACCTATCTACCTATCTAGGTTTGTGTTTTGCAGCACTAGAATATCTGTCAGATTAGATTTCAAATAGAGGTACGTGTAATCTGATTGTGCGCTCATGTTGTATAGTATGAGTTCATAACTAAGTGCAGTAGCTCCCAACCTGACGTTACGGTTTTTCTCAGTCACTTTGGTGCTTTTCTCACAACAGTATTAAAGTTTGCACCACTGCTAAGGCTATTCTCAAAACAAGTAGTGGAAGCTGCAAAGTACGGTAAAAAACCTGCAAAAGTGGATCATTTTCTCAAAATAGAAAGTCAGTTGCACAGAAGCAAGTCAGCAGCTCAAAATGGGACTTGATTTGCTTTGAAAGCAAGTCCCTTAATCAAGATAAATAATTCGTTTTTTAATAGATAATTTGTTCTTCAAAAACAAGTTTTTAAGTGAATGAAAGTGTCAGTGTCAAAATGACAAGTTATGACACCAGCATCTATGAACAGTCAAGTCAAAAGGTTTGAACATGTTTTCATTGTGACAGATTCACCCTGGAAGTGCTTCCTAATGTCATGTAAAGGCAAGACAGCATTAATTACCATGAATGGCATTTAGCAAAATAGAATTAAATAAAAATCAAGATGCTGAATATGAATGTTATTTTTATTGTATATTTGCAACTGTTCACAGCATTGTGCAACTGAAAAAATAAACATTTACAACAAATATAAACTCCCTTTGGCTCAGTAAACCCTCCTGCATATCATACTAGTTTTGAAAACTGAAGAGACTGTAAAACAGATGCTTCAGATCAATCATGGTCTTCTGGATGCTCATATCTGTCTGGCCACATATTTCATCTACATCACAGCAATTATCTGTCAGTGCACCAAGGAAAGTATCTTGTTGAGTACCATATCCACCCTCTGCAGGTCTCTGCTGTGATGTCATCACAAGCTGCAAACATGGCTGTTAGCAGGGTCATTTGGGAATGAGGACACCAGCCATGTACCTTCCACCTCCAGGAAGAAAGAAACTTCTCAATTGGATTAAGGAACGAGAGTGGGGAGGGAGATACTCCACAAGCATCCTGCCCAACCACAGCGGAGTGGTGGAAGCTAACATTAGCCTACTACTGCATACTCTGTCAGATTGTCACCAGGCTCATCCCTTTCAATCTCTGGGATTATTTCCAAAAACTAATAATTCACACACCCCTTTTCATCAGTGTAAGAAAAGGTTCACCTGAGAAAAGTTATTTATGGACATTTTCATGGAAACACATTAAAATAGTTTGAAAATGTATGTACAAAATGTTTGACAACATGTTCAGCTATTTTTATGTGCAGTGATGCAAGCAATGAAATAGGGCTGGGCAATAAATCGAAAATTTAGCGTTATCAAAATTTCGGACCCTTATCAATATAATTTTTCCCATGTCAGTAAATTTGATAGTTAAAAAATGAAACGATGTGTGTAGATTGGCAACGTCCACAAACTTACTAATTCCAGCTTTTTAAAAGCTTATTTCTAACCGCGCCGCAACCTTGCTGGCATTAGCCCTGCTCCTCCAAGGTTTAGAGCTGGGTCCAGTAGCGTACCCCCTGATGATCTGCGCTCTGTTCTGAGATCTGTATTTTGTGACTTGGTGAGCACCTCACCAAAGACTAAAGAGGTTCCAGTCATGTCTTCTACTGACCAGAGTGCATATACTCCTACACCTACAGCTCCTACACATAGCTCCGTTGTCATGACAAGTCTACCATCAGTTGAACCTGTCCCAACGGTGCGTCCCGTGCAACCCATGGCCCTAGTGAGGTCTGGTTAGGTTGCGTCCATCAGTACCAGTCTTCGACCATCCAAAGCATGTCAGCGGATCAAGTCATCCCTTTCCACTGGACAAACCAGAGAAACTTAAAGTTCTGTGCGATATCTTCCATAAAGGTTCCAAATGGAAACCTCACATCCCTGTGATGCTATTTTGGACAGTGGGTCAGACGGATGGGTACCTTTGACATTTGAATCGATTCGGTACTAATTCCCGGTACCTAGGAATCGATACCGGTCCTTAACGGTACCAATTTTCGATACTTTTGAGTGTTTAATATTTTAATTCTCTTTTATAATTAAATATACATTTTTCTCAATATATAACCATATTTGATAAATATCACGATTAATAACATACAACTGTTTGTATTTTAACATCGTCCTTGTAGTTTTATAAGCTGATAATTAAACTGAAGCAACTGTACCACCGTGACTCAAGTATAAATGTGACTCAACATAATACATGTGACAACCCCATCTAGTGGACAGCTTTTGTTTCTGCACATACCTGTAGTTATCGTCCATTTATCTTTATTGAGGTGAAATCCTCAATATATCGTGATATTGATTTTAGGCCATATTGCCTAGCCCTACAATCAAATGAAGATTATTGGTTGTATGATCAACCTATACCTGTATAGTTAATTTTGATAGACATGATAAAAGCAAGTAGTGATAATTTTGCAGATATTTGTATTTAATCAATTGCTTCATGTCCATAGGCATATGCCCTTGGATAAAATAAACATTAAACTGCCACTAGGTTGCGCCTGAACAACTACATGCTGTGGAGGTTGCACTATCTGTTTAATTTAATTATGTTGTGAGAATTGCACCAAAGCGACCGAGAAAAACTTTAAAATGGCTCCAACCTCAGTGATGATGCATCCAACTGTGCTGCAACACGCAGAGATGGTTTTGTTTTAATGCAATTAAAAATACATAAAACCCTGTCGTATGCAACTTGGGAAACATTTACATTGCAGGCAAAGTAACCAAAACCATATTTATTTTTAGTTTAAGTGGCACAAACCTTTCATTTCAAATCCAGTCCAGATCACTTTTATTTGTAGTCCTGAATCAGATACATATCTGATGTTTTTATACCCTGCGTGGTCATGTTGCATTCTATCCCTCTTTTTATGATTAGAGAGTGACAGATGGCACATTGGAAAGTGGCAAAATCACACGTAAACTGTGATGTGTTCATGCTTCAGTAAACACTGTGTGCTGTCAGTTCAGGGCCAGACCATTTTATTAAAAAATGTTAGATGGGGAGAAACTTATTTGATGAAAAGGTCAAGAATGTGTATTTACTAGGGGTTTAAATCATAGTTTGATCATGATACAATATCATATCGAGACAGTGGATGGTGATGTGATGTTTGCCGATAATTCAAATTCAGTCACACCATTTCAATTTAGAATCCACTGATAATATTACAAGTGAACACAATCATTTTCCAGGAGAGAGTTTCTTCATTTAACTTGTATGGTGATGTGCAAGAACAGGCGGAAAATGGCATGTCAGCAGAACTTCAACATAAAGCATATTTCAAAATAAAAGTGTGTTATGTTATCGATTTGCAGACATCGCTGTCAGTAAGTCATAGTCATTCTGGTTAGAGTTGGACTCTGCCAAGGCTGCCCTTTGTCACCGATTATGTTCCTAATGTTTATAAACAGGATTTCTGGGTGCAGCCAAGGTGTTGAGGGGATCCGTTTTGGTGGCCTAAGGATCAAGTCTCTGCTTTTTACAGATGGTGTGGTCCTGTTGGCTTTATCAGAACGTGATCTCTGGCTTTTGCTAGAGCGGTTCGCAGCTGATTGTGAAGCAGCTGTGGTGAGAATCAGCTCCTCTAAATCCACCATGGTCTTGAATTGGAAAAGGGTAGAATGCCTTCTCCAGGTCAGGGGTTAGGTCCTGCCCCAAGTGGAAGAGTTTAAGTATCTCGGGGTCTTGTTCATGAGTGAGGGAAAGATGGAGCGTGAGATTGACAGGTGGATTGGTGGTCTGCAGTATTGTGGGCATTGTACCGGTCTGTCACGGTAAAGAGAGAGCTGAGCTGGAAGGCAAAGCTCTTGATTTAATCTTCGATCTACGTTGGGAGTTGGTAGTGACCAAAGAACGAGGTCGCAGATGCAAGTGGCCAAAATGAGTTTTCTCCACAGGGTGGCTGGGCTCTCCCTTAGAGATAGGGTGAGAAGTTTGGTCATCTGGGAGGGGCTCGGAGTAGACCCGCTGCTCCTCCACATTGAGAGGAGCCAGTTGAGGTGGCTCAGGCATCTAATTAGGATGCCTCCTGGACGGCTCACTGGTGAGGTTTTCCGGGTGCATCCAATTAGGAGGAGACCTAAAGAAAGACCCAGGACACGCTGGAGGGACCATGTCTCTCTGCTGGCCTGGGAACATCTTAGGAGTCCCCCGGAGGAGCTGGCCCAAGTGGCTGGGGAGAGGGAAGTCTGCGTCTCTTTGCGTAGGCCACTGCCTCCGCGACCTGACCCCAGAAGAGCATCTGAAAATGGATGGATGGACGTTATTTATTTTTGCATTTTGGATCAATAACCATAAAATTTATGAATCAATGTATTAAATTCTTCGTATTTATGCAATAATATTCTGGCCGTTTCAGAATATCTGATTTTGATATTTAGTGTGCATTTTCATGCCCGTAAGTGTTCAGGCACTGAAGTTGGGACCAACGTTCCTGTTAGTTTAGTCATGGGGGCTCTGGAGGATAGCAAACGGTTGGGAACCATTGGCTTACTGAACAGAACATGGCAAAACCACCTCCATATCAGTTCTTCTTAATCAGAATAGTTTAGGTCTACATATATCATCACTTTTGTTTTGAAAACTATTTATTTCACCTGCTTATGGTCTCTGATTTAGGTTTCTTTTGTTTTGATGGGTACAAACACAAATGTCATTTGGTACAATTTGTTTTTCTGTAAGACCCCGTTTCTGGCTCTGTCATGCCTATTGACCTGTCTGAGTGCCCTTTCCTGCTTTACTGCATGAATGGTCATAAACAGCAGAGGCCTTTCTCATGATCACATTTTTATGAAGTATGGATGAGGACTTAGAAGCCTTATGTCTCATTTCATTTATCCTCTCTAAGGCTTCAGTTGGACTTCTTTGTCTTCTAAGTGTCTTTCACTGAGGTCCATACTTCGCTTTTAGCTTGAAGTGTCTTTGATACCTTTTGTAACAGCATGTCTGATCTCTTTAACTCGCCAGTGTCAGGGACAATATTGCATCAGTGGCACCATGTGTATTTTATAAAGCATCTGGTTAATTTCAGAGCATGCTGCATTTAGCATTTCACTAAAATTCTCTTGGAACAACGTTAAGGCTAACTGCTGCTATTTACATTAAAACAATGTGTTCATCACAGCAGGGAGGTATTTGGTGACATATGCACACTTATTATTTAAAACACAGACAGCAAAACAACTTTAACACAAAAAAGAAAATGAACATGCGTAAAAATCCACATGGCATCACTAACGTAACCAGAAAGCACACAGACTATCAGAAGGGGCAGCTTCGTGCTTTACTGGCACCTAAATCTAACAAAAGAGAAAATGTCCTACTCAAGCATGTTCTGAATCATGTTAGATGTGGTTTCTTTGAAGGGTAAATACAGGAGAAGATCCTAAACTGTTCTCAAGTTTAGTTTTTTTATTTGCTTGTTTGAAGATTTACATTTAAACCCAACAAAGCAGACACAAATGGATTTGGAAACGCATCAATCCTGGTTTGATGAAATCTTCTTCTCCTTTATTATTCCTGATTGATTTTGGTTTACTTCCTTTGTGGACCGTTGCCCAGCTTCCTCTCAGTCTGGTGTCTCTGATATACCCCTGCAGGTCAAACTGTGGTACGACAAAGTGGGTCACCAGCTAATTGTGACCATCCTGGGAGCCAAAGACCTGCCACCCAGGGAAGATGGCCGTCCCAGGAACCCATATGTTAAAATCTACTTCCTCCCTGACAGAAGGTAAGAGTAAAAATGATCGAACTGAACCTATTCATCAAACTGATCTATTTCCTTTTTAGAGATGTATTTGCTTGTTGGCATGCACAGAATAAATGAGAATAATTAGAAGTGTTATTTATCAGGAAAGGGATCATGTGTTTCGGGTGATGATTGCATCATTTACATTTTCATCTTTGAATATTGTTTCTTTATGTACTAATAATTAAAAAAGTGAATGTTTTGATTAGAATGAACCTCTTAATCTGCATGCTGTGGTGCTGTTCCTTAGTTTGTTTTTGTTGTTGATCTTTTGTGTTCGTGGCTGTTCTCTGTCAAGGTTGTAAATATAAACAGTTTGAATTATTGTTCCTCCAGTGACAAAAGCAAGAGGAGAACAAAAACAGTAAAGAAATCCTTAGAGCCCAAATGGAATCAGACCTTTATGTATTCACCGGTACATCGGCGGGAGTTTCGAGAGCGCATGCTGGAGATCACATTGTGGGACCAAGCCCGAGTCAGGGAGGAGGAGAGTGAATTCTTAGGAGAGGTGAGAAAATAAACCCCGCCCCCAATGTCACATATCCAATAGTCTGTCAGCTCATACCAATGCTTCAGTTTTAGCAAATAGTGTCTGGAATGTGTAGTCGTATTGGTGTATTAACACTACTACTACTACTACTAGTACAACTACTACTACCACTAATAATAATAATAATAATAATAATAATAATAATAATAATAATAATAATAATAATAATAATAATAATAATAATAATAATAATGTGGATATGAAATTACATCAGAGGCCAGTTTAGATGCTGCAAGATGGTAATGATGTGGTTGTTGGATGGGGTTCTGAAGATGATTGAATTCACTGAAATTTAATAATGTTTGGTGCTTTTTTTACTTTGACTTGTCTTTCGTGATTTCCATGCCGGAAAAGAAACGAAAAAAAAAAGGGCATAAACATTCCAGCTGCTGCTAATCATGAGATATAAAAAAGGATAATTCTGTCTGAATGTGGACTGGAGATGAAATTTTACAGCAGCCCTGATGATCCTTTATTAAATGTCTCGTTAAATGCACCAACCTTCTTATATTGTCTCTGGTTCATAGCCTTTTCATCCATCCATCCATCCATCCATATATATATATATATATATATATATATATATATATATATATATATATATATATATATATATACACACACATGTATGTATACATAAAATTCCCATCTCACTCTCTGCGGGTGGTCTCATTCTTCCAAGCTCGGATCCTCCACCAGAGACCAGGGAGCTTGAGGGTTCTGCGCAGTATCTTAGCTGTTCCTAGAACTGATCTGCTTTAGCTACTCCTCCAGTTTGGGGGTTACTGCCCCGAGTGCCCTGAAGACCACGGGCACCATCGATGTCTTCACTCTCCAGGCTTTCTAAAGTTCTTCTTTCAGGCCCTGTATCTTCTCTAGTTTCTCATGTTCCTTTTTCCTGATGTTGTCATCACTTGGCATTGCTGCATCAACCACAACCGCTGTCCTCTGTTGTTTGTCCGTCATCACAATGTCTGGTTGGTTCACCATCAACTGTTTGTTGGTCTGGTTCTGGAAGTCCAACAGGAGCTTGGCTCTCTCCTTCTCTGCCACCTCAGGAGGTGTTTCCCACTTCCAGTCCATACTCTACACCAAGGGTATTCAATTCTGGTACCGGGCCTGGAGGGCGGGTATCCAGTAAGTTTTTAAGCAGGTCATTAACAGGCTTCTGCAGAGCCTGATGAGCTGCTGCACAGGTAATTCAACCACTGAATCAAGTGTGTTGGAGCAAAGAAACCACTAAAACATGCTGGATACCTGTGTGTTAGGCGACACCTGTTTTATAACATATTCAGTGGTGCAGTGGTCAGAATGTCAGGCTAGCATATAATTTAGCACAGGTTTGCCTCCCTGTCATAGCCTTTTCTTCTTCTACACTTGTAACTTCTTTCTTCTACACTTGTTATTATGTTTTCAACCTATTATTGGTAAACAGTTTAAAATGTTAGAACTGATCTGTTTGTTTTTAGTCAGAATGAGTCCATGTGAGATGGGCAGAGCAAATCAACTAAAGTGCAGCTTGGAAATGATTAAATTCAAAGATATTTAGGGGCACAAAATGTTTTGCAGAAAACCAAAAAATATAAATAAATGAAATCTGCTTCAGCTGGCTAAACAAATTACTGCCGACACCACCGGCATAATAACATTTTAATATCTGTAACACATGATCTAATGGTCCAACAATGATCAAATTCTACTATTAATAAGTGTAACGGGGTGGAAAGGTTATGCTTTATCACATCAGTGAGCTGTTCTAAAAGACTTTTAAACAGAGTAAAGAGAAGAGTGACGCTTACGCTGCTTCTTTGTGGAACATCTCCTTCTAATCTGTGTTACTTCTTGAAGATCATGTGATTAGAGCAATGGTCAAAGGAACAGAGGGGACAGGAAACACCAGGGATGTCAGTCATTCAGAAACTTTAAAACCTAAAAAATCTATTAAAATAGAAGTGATGCATTTGTTCATAAAATTATCAAATAAAATTCATGAACAAATTAAAAAAAATGTAGAAAACATTTAATTTCACACCTTTATTTATTTAAAGCAAACATGAGTGGGGAACCATCAGTTTAGCCAGTTTGCAAAAACAAAAACAAAGTATTCTTAATCAACTCATCCTCTTTCACATATTGTTGCACTTTATGGTAGAAGTGGGCTCACAATTTAAAATGTGATCTTTTTAGTATTTGAATTTGGTTGTTTTAAAACAAAATATACTGTGTAATGTCGTGGGGACTCAAATGGCACCAAACAATCCATTTCCGTGTCCAATCATGATGCAAACATGGTTCATTCCTAACTGATTATTAGAGGAAAAACATCACTTGACACCGTTTCTGATTGGTTTCTGATAGTACTCTACACTTCAAACGTGTTTGAACAGAACAGGTTTGTCTTGTTTATATGCTTCATGAAAATTACCTCAAAAGTGATCAGTAAACATTGTAGTTCATTATTGAGAAGCTTAATTTACAATTATATCTAACTATGACCCCTTTCCTCTGGCAGATACTTATTGAGCTGGAAACTGCACTTTTAGATGACGAACCTCACTGGTACAAGCTACAAACCCACGATGTGTCATCCATCCCACTTCCACGTGCCTCCCCAAACGCTCAGCGCAGGCAGCTTCATGGAGAGAGTCCGACCCGGCGGCTGCAGAGTATGTAACACTAACATTCTCTCTATTTGAAACACCACCAAACATCCACAGCTCAAATCCTCAGGTCCAAATAAGAAGACTGAATAGTTCTGTGAAATGCAGCTGTTTAGATGTGCTGACTGGGAAACTTTTCTTGTTTATGTCACATGAATTTTACTGCTTCTGTTTTACAGACAAAGGCTCTTATTCATACAACTCAGGTAAAGCCCCCCACCCCAACACGGCTGCTCCATGGACCATCCTGTAGCGTTCCTCTATCGTCTTTGGGCGTGCATCCTCATGATCGGGCTCCCCAGCCCCTTTTCCCTTAGAGAGTGCATCTGTCTGCTGCTCTATGTGAATTTTAAAGTGTAAAGCTGCTTAGTCACACAGGTTTTGAATCCACTCGGTTGCAGAAGACACGTGCACCCTTCAGGGAAACATAATTGGTTAAGGTTTTCTCCTCCCTTCTGTTTATTCATACCTATCTTTCTTTTGACCCCCCACAGCCCACAACCATATCCTCAATGCTCCCTCTGCTTTACCTTTAGCTACAATCTCACTGGGCTGCGACTGCTGGTTGTAGTTTTCAAATAGCATTTGCAAGGGAGTTTCCAAATTACACCAAAATGTTCTCAGTGGTTCTCAGCATGCTTATGGGAGTGGCAGAGCCTCATTTGTGTTGCTGACATTTTAAACAAGCTTAATTTTCTTCTTGTAATACCTGCAGTCATCACAGTTCCTGGGAGTTTGCTCAAGTTAATTTCTGTGGTTCAGAAAATATAAGAAATGTTAGGAAATGTTAGACCAAACTGGCATTGGTGACCACTGAAACCTAAGCTCCTCTCACTGCTGGCAGAAGTGTTCATTCTGGAAGGTGAACATCTACACAACAAAAACCAGACCTTAGGGAAGAATCACAAAATACAAACAATTTAGGAGTAAGTCAGATGTGACATAATTGCTAATAAAATAAGCTTTAAAATAAAAAAAGCAACTCTGAGTAAAATGAAACAAAGACATTTGCATGAAAGTTGCACAAAAGTCATGTAAATGTTGCAGTTTCTTCTGTTCGGGTTATACCCACACAGTTATTTTGTGAGTAACATGTGATCTGTACTTTAAATTGGTGCATTTTCTTGTAATTATTCGTCGTCAGCCTCAGCCCAGTGAGAGCCTGTGCTAAAATAACAGGGATCCTACCAGCTCATGTGGAAAGTGAATCAGTGCTCCCCAAACTGTTCTGTGTCATGGACCAGTGTTGTAGTTAGACATGGTTTAATCAAAGTAATGTTAAAGGCAATAAAGTGCAGAATTTAGACTGTTCTCTATGTGTTTATGTAATTGCCATGCACTTTATTTCTATTGTTGTCTTGTTTTAAGCACTTATTTTACATTTTCAAACATATAGATTAATATATGTGTATATAAACTTAGAAAAAGTAGCTTTTAACTCTTTCTGTGTGGTCCGGTGCTAGATGATCCACGGACTGATACTGGTCCTTAGTCCTGTGGTTGGGGACCCCTGATGCAGGAATTGCTGTTACGCTTCTTTGCTCATTCATTACTTGCGTCTGAGATTCTTAAAGGTGAATAATCGATGCTTTCTAAGTGAAACCATGCCTAAAACGTTTTTTTGAAACAGTTGAAGAATCTAAATAATTGTTCTTGTTCTTTGGGACAGCAGTAGCTCAGGAGGTAGAGCGGGTTGTCCATTAATGAGAAGGTTGCATGTTCGAGCCCAGCTCCGACCAGAGAATTCTGCTGCTGTGTCCTTGGGCAAGACACTTAACCTACCTTGCCTGCGGGTGGTGGTCAGAGGGACCGGTGGCGCCTGTGCTCAGCAGCCTCGCCTCTGTCAGTGTTTGTCAGTGTGCTACATTGTAGCTCATCCCCTCCAGTGTGTGAATGTGTGTGTGAATGGGTGAATGACTGACGAGTGGGTTGTAGAACCCCAAGAAGGCGCCATACAAATACAGTCAATGTATAAATAACTCATTATTTAACTTGAGGCAGATGCTTCAACATATTTGAGGTTTGTCATACTATTATTGCTTTCTGTGACCAGACTGTGGCTCAGTAGCTTTCGATGACTGGATTGCAGTGAACTGCTTGACGGTACTGTGTTCTCTGGCTGATTAAGGTTTCCTCGCTCCCCACCACAACAACTTTCTGAGCGTTTGTATTAGTGAGAGGTGAAAGAGCTGACAGCTGTAAAACGTTTTCTGCCAACTGAGTTGTGAGATTGGGAGTGGTGCTGCCGGAGTGCAGCACTTGTTTTTTTCTGAAAAAGCAAGCTTGTCTACTTGATTTAAGTTGACTGAAGAGTGAAGGTGGAGGGATGTGTTTGATGCATGTGTGTGTGTGTGTGTGTCCAAATAGTTCCATGATTAACATCCAAACACAAACACAAGAGGACACAACTAAACTTCAGAGAGTCAAAATGGCCAAAGATATATTAGCGTGAGGCAGAGGCTGAGGCCTTTCCCCAGCGCTAGCTCTGAAATCACCTGGCTCTGATGCTCAATAGATTTTCAGAATTTTAAGCATTTAATTACACTTAAACAGAATAATAAAAAATGCACCCCCCTCAGAGTTGTCATGAATATAAACTAGGTCTTTTAAACCTATCATGGTTGTTCGAACCAGGCTGTAAACATGTTTATTTTTGATGTGAAATGGGCATTTTTAACATAGGAGTCAATGGTGGTGCCAGCCCCTAGTGGATCAGGAAGGAACAGCAATTTTAGGCACTTCTTCTTGGCTTCAAAAATGCTCACCAAAGTGGCTCCTTAGTCACGACGAAGAAGGCTGTTGTTGTTTTAGCGTTCAGGAAACAGCAGAGAGCGTCTAGACTAGTAAAAGCTAACTGTTAGAATTAGCAACTCCACCACACAGCAAAACTCCTTCAGGCTTGTGTTATTTACTTGTGGAGATAAAACATCAACGGTGCAGAGAAAACAGAGTCAGTGGTAGAGTTGTGTTGCTGTTAGCTGATCAGAGGCAAGATGTCCACATGCCAGGAAACAAGACTCCAAATCCTTTCATCTGAAGCTACTTTTTTGTCTGGCTTAATTCTCCGTACGGTTACAGGCACACCGGAGGTTTTTACCCCAGAGTTCGACTTACAAGGCATTTATTCTTACTAGAGACCACTGCAGATGTATTGAAAATAGGAGTGAAGGACTTCTTTCACTGTCTTATCTCTCTGTCTTTTTTCTTCCTGCTTTTCTCTCTGCCTCTTTACTTCAAAGGATCCCAAAGGATAAGTGACAGCGAGATATCAGACTATGATTGTGAAGATGGAGTTGGGGTTATACCAGGTAATAAACAAAACTAACAAAACTGACTTAAAAGTAAATAAATAAATTAAAAACACGGAAAGTACATTTCTACACTGAATTTAGCTTATTTTTCCCATTTGAGATGGTGAAGATCACATATCTTAAAGAAATCACCCCCAGTCAAGTGTTCAGACCTGAACTGCCTACAAGCACAACTGTGTACACTGTTAGAGAGATACAATACTGCAGCCCATCAGCAGAAGCAGACTGAGGGAGCGCAGGGCGTTTTATTCTGCTCTGCGTTGATAGTCGTTTCCAGCGTTCCAGGGTTCCAGCAGCACGCCCACGCTGCACCTCAGAAAGTACAGGAGCTGCAAAATAGTAAAGAGAAAAGTCTTAAAAGTGCTCATAACACCAAATAAAATGTGGCTACCCTGTTTGCTGGAAAGCCTTTAATAAAGCCCTCGATGAAAAGAAGCATCGTTAGTTTTGAACATAGAAAGAGAAAGGAGAGCCTCGCTGGTGGAGTTTTAGGTAAAGGAAATTCTAATCCGGCTTTTTAACATTCACATCAGCAGTTCTTCGCCCTTCCACTGTCCTCAGCCTTGGTTTCACCCTCACCTTAATGCAGTTGGATGGAGGAAATGCTTGAGATGTCATCACAGTTGGCTCCAAACTGAATGACTCAACGGACAGCTTGCAGATATATGCTCTGGAAAATAACAAACAGGATACAGTTTGACACATTTCAGTGTGTTCAAGTCTTGGTGTTGTAGTAAGTTTTAGTAAGAGAGGAGGATGACCACATTTTCTTGCATATTTGTTACTTTTATTCAATTCAATTCAATTCAATTCAAAGATACTTTATTAATCCCAGAGGGAAATTAGAGTATAATATAACATTGTAACTTAGTTACTTTTTGAAGTAATTAGTCAACACATTCTCACACCCAAGGCGTCAAAATATGACGCGTGTGACCAAGCCTCAATATATGATGATTGGTGACACCCCAGCGCGTCAGGAGACGACGATCAGGGGCACGCTGGGTCACGTGGTTCCTCTGGCATCACTGTTTGATGCGCGCGGTCACACGGACATTATTTGACTATTTAACCTTCCCCTCACCCCAATCCTAACCTTAAGGTGCATAAACTGTGACCTTAAGGTTAGGATTGGAGTGAGTGGATGGTAAAGTAGTTCACAAGTAGTTCTAATGTCCGTCTCGCCACCAACGCCGGATATCGATGCTCTGGGACGCTGTGTCAGCAGTTTGTCCCTTATCGTCGTTTCCTGACGCGCTGGGGCGTCCCGAATCGTTATATATTGACGCTTGGTCACACGCGTCATATTTTGACGCCTTGGGTGTGAGAATGTGTTGAATTCGTAGCTATACCTAATTATTTTTTTTAAGTAGCTTTCCCAACACTGCCTATCACAACAAAGCTATTTAAGTTCATATTACAAGTCAATGAAATAATCAGAAGAGTTTCGGTGAGGTGATTCCTTTTAACCTTCATACTCAGGAATACTTAAAGATACTCGTATATACTCATTCAAAGACACCCAAGGATAGTTAAAGATTCTCATATATACTGTGATATGATCCATCCATGTTACACAGGCCCTACCATCCTAGAAAAATCACCAGGACCTGTATAGACATACTGATGCACCAGTTTGAGTTACCGCTCTTTACCTGAACTCAGAGTCCTGGATTGCCAGAAAAGGCTTTTTCTCTTGCCAGGGGAAGAAAAGATTTCATTTAGCTCTGCATGCCAGGTAATTACTCTGTTGCAGGATAGCCAGTGTTGTCATTCTATGACACATAATAATAGAGCTTAGATTCAAGATGCTGATTTCTGGTTTTCTTTTTGTGGCAAAGTTTACTAATTTGATTTTTTTCCATCCACTTGATTCCCATTAGAAACAAAATTGTATCAAGTGACAAAGTAAAAAAAAGACTCAAAATGATTTATTAGAATCTCTAATTTAATCCCACGTTTCCTGCTTTTCTAGCTTTTGATTTAAGCTTTGTTGTGAACTTTTTAAGCGCTACACAGTCTACTGAATACTAATCAACTTTAATAGTGCTAGGCATTGACCTTAACTAGGGCTACTAGCCATGTCTGATTACTGGTTAATGAACTCTTTCAAGTTGAATGAACTAATCAGTCTAGCAGAAAAAAATCATTAGAATGTTTCAGGTTTTTAAAATCTATTTTCATGTTTAATAGACAGAATTAACAAAGCAGATAAAATGCCATTTTATGGAAAGCTAGTTCTTGATTTTGACATTTAGTTGAAGTTCTACAAAGAATGACAACATGAAGTCAAACTGAAGCCTTTCAGACTTTCATTTGTTAAATCAAACAACAGTTTTACCAACTGAATTAAGTCAAAGAAGAAGGGAATGCAAACTGCTGCGTACATTCTTCTAAATGAGGCTCCAGTATGGCCTGACATCTGTTCTGTTCATTAATGTGTGTGTTAACAGACTATCGGCCAAACGGAAGAGACTTCCAGAGCTCCACGTTGTCTGTCCCTGAGCAGGTCATGTCATCTAACCACTGCTCTCGATCAGCTGACATAAACCGGGCGAGGTCGCGCTCTCCAAGCGTTCCCCCACCTTCCAGGTAACAACCACTGAATGAACTGAGGATATGAATGAACAAATGGCAATTTTTTCACTCTGTTCTTATATTTTAAAATCATCTGTTATATTTTTAGTTTAAATACTTTTAGCACATCTGCCTTTCTTGTTTTAGAAACAACAGAAACATCAAATGTTGGTTCAGTTAAAGTCATCGTTTCACATTAGGAGTTCGTCACCTGCTGTGTCACTTTTTGCACATCAGCTATCTCTGTTAGTAGTTCAACGTTTGGCCAGATGTTTTAGAGGAGTCGTTTGTGATGTGTGGCCCACTGGAGAACATGTGTTGTGTTCACATGTCACTGAAAACGTATCAAAGGTAAAATGTCTGTAGTCACTTAACTACAGTTACTCTGTTATAGAGGCTTATAATTTGTCTACATTTATTTGGGTTATTTTGCAAAAGATCCCATCAAGAGCGTAGTTCAATGGTTCAGAAAAGACGTTTGGTTTGTTGTGTTTACAGAGACAAATGTGTTTTGTTGTTGTTTTGAGGGAGGGAAAGGTTATTCCTGTTGAGACCTAAGCTGAGATACAGCTGCACTGAGGCTAATGATGTGTCTCCAGTTAAGGACCATATTTGTGTAAGAAGTCTCATAAAATGTCCTTTGAGGTCATTTTTAAGTCCTAGTAAAAGTTCTGCCTTGGTTTGTTCTACAACTCAGCCGGTAGTGTTTTAACTGTAGTCAGAGTTAAAGAGTGGAGTCGTGTTTTGTGGCACGGAAGCAAAGTGGGTCATGAAATCCTCTCTGCAGAACTCAGACAAGATTATCGCAGCGGTGTGTTGTTGTCTTGAAAATGAGCAATAAAAATGTCTAAATACAAAGAGGAGTTTCAGAGCACTCACCAAAAGGTTTACCAAAATATTTATATATTTTTATCCATTTAATCATGTTTTTAACAGATCTTTAAGTAGAGCATGGAGTTTGTCTTCTTTTACATCATAAGCGGCAGGATTCATTTATGTTTTTGTTTTATGTTTATGTATTTAGCAGACGCTTTTGTCCAAAGCGACTTACAAGTGATAATTTGTTTGTTTGTCAAGTTGAAATAAGCTTAAATAAACACATTTAAATAGGGGTGTCTACTGTTCAGCTATATTTAAACTAGTAATGAGGTATTTTTCTCATTCCACTGAGTCAAAAACATTTCTCTGTTCTTCAAAATCGTTTTGGTTCCAAATGATATTTTTAATAGTGCTGCAGATGTTCACAGATTTGGCAGAGATATTGCAAATTTGGTACTTTTTAAGTGTCCAACGTACTTTGATCCACAGACACTTCATAAATCATAAATATTACAGCCAATACTTACCTGGCCTCTCCATTCTCTCTGTTCTCCTGTCAGTTCTGAACTTTTTAAGTAAAGAGGAAAGAATGAATTAGAAGAAGATTTGTATATTTACCTGAATCACTGTGACTTGAACCATTACCAAAATATATGAACACACCCAGTCACTTTGGTGATGTCTCAAACTAAACACCTGGTTATTGTTATAATGAGAAGAGATGAAAGCATCTTTTACACCTTTGAGTCAACCAGGAAGCTGAAATAATTCAATATAAATAATTAGGAGCTTATGTTGCAGCTGCTGATCTTTAAAGGTGATGTGACCAGTTATCCTCCATCAGTACTCATTTTTGTGAGTGTTAGGACATGTTGGTCCAACAGTCCAGTTATAGCTTTGGCAGCTACTTCCCTCTGGCCAATTAACTTTATTTGATATTTCTAAGGCTTAGCCTAAATCAGCGTCAAAGGCAGAAAATGCACTTATCTAAATTGTCTGGGACAGTACTTATTTGACTCTATTTTGTCAGTTCTAATTAAGAAGAGCATTTAAAACAGTTACAAATTACACAGGAAACAAGTCCCAGTGTGCCAACAAGATGTATATTTAAGAAAAAAAAACACATTTTGGGTTTTCAAAAGGATTTCTGTCATTTTGATCTGCTTTCTAGATGGATGCTCTGAGTTATACAACCTTGTGTAGGTGACATCAGTCAGGTCAGGCTGTGTTATATCTGTTTGTTTGGTAAAGTGGAGGAGATCTCCTCCTCCTCCTGATTTCTTTTCTCATTTTTAGCTCCTATCATCTTAGACTATATTTGTTACATCAGCACTCTTTTGCAGCTCAGTTTTTGTGTTAGGTAAAAAAAAAAGACTTTGCTTTTACCTATTTTTCTCAATTCTCCAAACTCCACATGTTTACCTATACTTTTGTGTCTCCAGTCTTCCCATTCTCTCTGTCTGCTGTCCTCTTTTTCCTCTTCATCATATCAGAACCATCTCTGTCTTCTCTCCTCCCTCCATGTGGTTGCAGCCATTTTCTCACCTTACCTCGATCCAGACACATTCAGTTCATTGGTGATCATCCAAAGGACCGCAGGTAGACCTTTACCTGAGTTTGCATGAAGCCTGAGCTCTTTCATATACCTAGTGTTCCACCAACCCACACGCTCTTTTTGTTTTGGAAGAAAAGCTTCCAAATGGCACCAGTTCACTGGCATGTTTTCTTTTGAATTATCCTGGAATCTCACAGGCAACCCTGCCCTTAAAGTGTAAATATGCTTTCTAGAATCACTTTCACAACTTTAACACAGTAGAACAGTCAGAATCATTTTGAAGAAATACTAAAATGCACCTTTATTGATCATTAACTGATAAAAGGTTTCAGAAAATGCAGAATGAAATTGCAGTAAACCTAGGTTCAGCGCAGTTTCTGAACAAAAGCTGATCAAAGATGATCCAGTTGGTAAAAATTCTGTTTGATCCATCTTTACTTAAAAATAAAACCAGAAACAAATACAGCTGCTGTCTGTCAAGGTTGCTTCCCAGATTATGTGAGTGGGAACACATTTAACCCTCTGGAGGCAGGCGCTGCAGATTAGCAACGTTAACTCCTACCTGCCTGGTTACTCCACATACGCATTTCATGAGCATTTTTTTACTCAGAAGTACTCCTGAAGGACTTAGTTGTTCATCCTTTTATCAAATCTCATTTTTAGCCAGTGAGGGTTAAAGCAAAATGATAAATGTCCTGCTCTTGTATGGTCACCGTCGCCTCCGTAACCAATCATGAGAAATTCCTTGGTATCGGTGATTTGTGTGAGCAGAACTTCATGGGCACAGTTTCCAGTGAGAACATGAAGCTGCTGCTTCAGCCTTCTGTGTGAAATCGGATCTTGTGATTGTGTTTTATCCTGCTCAGTATGTTCTGGTTTACGAATGTCTCCATTCTGTAGCAGCAGCGAGCTGAAAAGTGAAAAGAGCCAGTGGTCAGGTTAGGATATGTTTGTCATTTCAGAGGATCGAACGTGTTCTGCTGAGGATTGTTTATACAAACAGTTGTCTACTTTCTTCTGATTTGTTAAATATGTAGAAACACTCTCTCCACCATCCCGTTATGTAAATATGTCCTCTTCATGCTTCGTTGTTCAGCATGTGTTCAGATGGAAAAGAACATTTTTTTCTGTTTCACTACAGTGTAGTTTTGTCCAGCAGAGGGGGTTCTCCTGCAGACATGTGGACACATTCAGCGGACCAGGATCCTGTAGATTAACCTTCAGTGGGAATCCAGAAGAGTCCTCCATTTTTCTTGTTAATCTAAAATGAGATGCTTACCAGTTGTGATATTTTTTCACCAGCCGCAACCATCGTGTGTACCCAATCTGCAGAGAGGAAGCAGTCAGGTTACTGCGTTCTGCTAGGATGACCCGTGCCTATTCTGAGGGCGCCTATTCCTCCGACTATGACTATGAGAGGTATTGAAATGTGCTGCTGCAGCATCTGTACATCCGTCATCATGTGGTCTCTTCCAGTTGTCCCTCGTTTCCCTGTGACCATGCAAGTGATGACTAAAAATGATATCCTAACTGATATCGGTTTTTGTTTAGACGTCATCACAGCTCTGAAGTTGTGCACACTGAATGTACACAACCGTCCTCGTATGTCGAGGCTCAGAGCTCTTTGTGTTACTGGTGTCACCTGTGTGTAAACTGGTTGTAGAGTTAAGTTCTGCCATATGTTGATGTTACAGTAACGTTTAGTATTTTTGAATTGAACTGAGTTAAACCTGTGGTTGAAGGTGCTCCACTGTTCTGGAGTCTGATGCATATTGTTCTGGGCTGCAGTCGTTCTAGAAATGTTTGTTATTGTTTTTGTTTTGCCTGGTCAGAATGGGCTGATGTGATTGTTGTTTCTCACATTAGGAGAAGCGTTCTGTTTTTAACAGCCATGCCAGTCTTGCTGCGTTAATGAGGAGAAAGGACGGACATCCCCCTCTCCTTCACACAGTAAAAGTATGCTGCCGCTTGGCTTTAACTCAGGAAGAACATTGTGTTTTATCCACTTGTCTCTTCTCTAGGAGGAAGAAGTGATGAATCCACAAAACCTGACCTGTAGGGATGATTTTCCTTTAATCAGGTGTCACAAGCTTTCCCTGAGATCCAGCTTTTTACAACTTGAGCTCGCATTGCCATTATTCTGTTTTGTCTAAAAGCCCCAAGTTCATTCACGATGTAAAGAAATAAATGATTAAGTGTGGATTTGAAAAAACATTTTCCTCTCAATTACTAGCCACTTTTGTTTGTTGATTTTAATTTTAACTGGCATTAGTTTTCTAACTTGATTTAAATATTTATTTTGTCAGACTCATGTCTTTGCTGTGTCTCACTGAACTTTGTTGTTTACTTCAACATAAGTCTGACATGGGACTGCAGTGAAGTACTTCCTGGGTGGTAATGTTTTACTACAGCTCCAACATACATTCACCACATCTGGTCAGTAGATTTATTTAACTTAAAACTTGCAGAGTTGTTTTTGTTTGGACAGTGACTCAGACATCATCCTGACTTGATGCTAATGGTGCGTACGCTAGCTGTATTAGCATTCAGATATTGTTGATGCAATCCAGCTTGATTGTCCCCATAGTGGAAACTTCCTGCATCCTGAAGTGAAATAATCACAATCTCAACAGCATGAGTACAAGTAGAACTATAAATATACCATCTTAAGCTGTCAGTGGGACTCATAAAATATTTATTATTATTATTATTATTAGTAGTAGTAGTATTATTATTGAATATTCATTGGGTTTAAAGGCACACTAAGTCACTTTTTCATATTTTTAAGTACTTACTTTTAAGTACCAGTTGGTCCTAAATGACCCTTCACTGGGTGAATAAGCCCACTTGGCTACAGAACAGACGAGCTACAGATAACCAGCATTTATTGTAACGTGTTCCTCATGGCGGAGCCTGCGAAGAAACAAAGAAAACTTTGATCTGATGAACATTGGATACAGACCTTGTGATCCTATTAGAATAGAATAGATCAGAATAGAATAGAATAGAATAGACTTTATTAATCCCACAGTGGGGAATGTCACTCGTTACAGCAGCACATACGCATAGAGAAAAGGAAGAAGAAAAAGAATAGCAATTGTATATACAATTTTAATGTTTTTATGCATGTGCTTATTTTCCCGGTGTTCATAATTATTCCTAAATATGTATTTCAGACAGCAGTGGTTACACCTGCCCCATTTACACACAAGCACACACACACACACGCACACACACACATTCTCATAGCACTCATTTTTAGGACATCATTGGCTTCCATTTATTTTAGTGACTGGATTGTGCCTAACCCTAACTATAACCAGTCTATTCCTAATCCTGACCTTAACTAAAACTGAATTCACACCGTACCTCTAAAACTAACGAGTAGAGCTCTGTGACATTGTACCTAACAGCTGGTCCTCAGGTAAAAAGTTTGTCATTGGTTTTCACTTTGATTTACAGACGAGTACACACACACACACACACACACACACACACACACACACACACACACACACACACACACACACACACACACACACACACACACACACACACACACACACACACACACACACACACACACACACACACGTCTGTCAATCCTTAACCTACAGAAGTGTTCTCTTTTCACCTGTCAAATCTCAGTCACTGATGCTCGTTTCCTCACACACCATTGATTTCTTATTGATGAGTCTTGACTCTCTAATCACCACCCAGAACAATGGTAGAGCCATCCTTGTCATCAGGCCCGCTGAAGCTGGTCATGCTGTCGGCTGGTCCTGTCACCGCTGCTTGTAGCTTCTACAGTAACGTGCTGTATTCACCCAGCAGTCTTTCCATGTTCGGCTTTACTGACACACTACAGCCTCTCTCTGTGGTTGCACAGTTCCTCATCTTGTCTACAGTGTCGGTCATACCAGAAACTCTGTTAGTCGTCAGTAAAGTGGCTGTAAACGAAGAGGCCTCATTATACTCTGCATCCAGTGATGGAATAACTCTCAGTACGTAATGAGGTGTCTATGTCTGTGGGCTAGGCGACATGCTAGCAGCGGAGTGTGCTACCAGCACATGATTCCTGCATGTTTTAGATATTGAATATAGCTGATTAGTTTAACTTAGTTTCTACAGGAGCAGTTCATCACTAACGAAGGCTGAGTGGACATTTCAGCAGTGAGATGAAGGTGTTAAAACACACATGCACAGCGAGGGGAGTACGCAGCAGTTCAGTTTTATGACAGTGATCTAAAACAGACACTAGAGGGTGTTAAAACGTGCCAAAACTTCCTTAGTGTGCCTTTAAGTCTTTAGTGTAATGAGTTTGACAAAGTATATTTTACTCTCTTTAAAATAAACATGTGAATTTGGTACAAAACACAGAGTGGTGGTTCAACTCTCAAAAGCTCTTCTTTTGGACAATATTTAATGAAAATAAAAATAACTGGACAAGGCTAGAAAAAACAATTGCTACTTTGTCATTTTCTTTTATTCTTGCTGCAACTTTTCAAAGGTAGTTAAAACTGAAATCTATTTGCATTTTCACCCTGTTTTAGATGTGTGTGTATAAATCAACAAGCTTTCTGCACCGTGTCAAAAATCAAATGTGTGTAGGTGTTTATGTTTTGCTCTCACTAACAAACGATCAAATGTTTTAAGAACTATGAGCTGCTGAAGCACAAAGTACCAATCTGCATGTTACAACCCCTTCACTTGTCAGCTGCTCTGACCGTGTGTGTTTGTTCCTCCTGTTTCTGCCTGCAGCTGTTAACCTTTGTTCTTTTTCTGGATGGTAATCTCACCAGCTTCTTGCCTCTTTAGGTCAACGATAGTCTTCTTTCTTACTGGGTCAAGGCAGAGCATTTTATAAGAATTATAAACACAACAAGCTAATTGTATTAAACCATAGCATTTGGAACTGACCAGTGAAAGCTCAACTGTGTTCATTGTAACAACCTCACAGTAATTTTACCACACTGTAGCTTTTTTTTTTCACAATAGCCCTAAAACTGAAAAAAAAAAAAACAACTATAAAAGCAGAATTGCTGAAATTACTGTTTTGGCCTTTCTTTTTTTTTAATTAATTAATTAATTAATTTTTTTTTTATTTTTTTTTACAAAAAAGCCTTTTAGAAAGAAGAAAATCCGTTTTCTGTGCTTAAAATCCAACTACCTTGGTTGACCCGTTTTTCCAAAATGAAAGTTCAGATCTTTGAAATTGGATTCCTTTGAAATTTTTATAAATCTTTAACATCTTACTCCTGGGGTATGGCTCTTTGAACAACCCCAGTTTGGCGAATTAGAATAATACGGACCATACCGATGCTTGGCCTAACCCGTTTGGATCAACTTCAGTTTTAAAACTCTTTAAGCTGTTCATGTGAATTCTGTTTTATAGATATTTTTATTGCTATCAGGTTCACAAAACAACGTTAACATGTTTTATTCCTACATGAACAAGCTGAGGTTGAACAGGAAGCGCTACCGCTAGCTGCTGCAACAAATAATCATATTGAACAGATAATTGCTCAGTATGATATTGATGGTGATGTGATGGCTTTTAAAAATAGTTTGCTTAAGCTGTTGAAAGATATTCAGATTAAACTTGTAACAAGTTATTAACTTATAAATCTGGTCTGAACTTGTCTCTGTTTTGACAAAATGAGGTGTTTTCTAGTTGCAGGAAGTAATTAGTGACATTTGTATTTCAGTGTTTTAATAAGACATTTTCTTAGGTTAGCTTGTTGTATTTTCTTGTAGAAATCCAACCTCTTTGTAAAAGGTTAATAAAACGTTGGAAGACAGACCATTGGTGGTAGATTCATACAAACATTCTTCTTGGAGTTTTTAGGGTTCATCAGGATTCTTTGCTCTCATAGTCCACCCTGCCTGCCTTATGCCGCTGCCCTGCTGGAGTCACACTGAGTGCCTGCCTGTCTCTTAACAACCCCTGTAGGAACCATGGAGCCATGGATAGACACGAGTTTCACAGCAGGTCCCGCTCTGCAGACCAACGGGCCACTATAGAGCGCCTATCATCCCGCTCGCGCTCCTCTGAGCGCCCCCACGACTCTTCACTCATGAGATCGATGCCGTCTCTGCCATCTGGGAGGTCCGCACCCCCCTCACCAGCCATGACGAGGTGTGACCCAGATTGGACAAGCCAACCAAGCACATCGCTAACTGGAGTTTTAGTCTGTACTGTCATTTACCCGAGGCATAGCTACACTGGAGGGAAAAATTGTTTTCATTTAAAAAAAGTTATCCAAAGATTATCCACAATTAGCATTACTGAGACAAAATCTGCTGCTCATACACATTACAGTTCCCCATCAGATTACTATTGCTACCATTACCTATTGGCCATAACATTATCACAGCTTTGACTAAGCATGGATGAAGAACATGTCCCAGACTGACAGGTACTGAGACATTAGCACTCACAGGATGGATTACTCACCTTTAGGTCAAAGGTTGTCAAAGGCCGTAATGATTAGCCTGTAGCTCTTGGTGAAAAATTACAAACAACATTAGTAAGAAAGGTTTAAAAATGTCTTGCAGAAGTTCCAGACTTCCACACTTGTGTCACCAGAATTGTAAAGATGCAAACCAAACATCTGGAATCCTTCTGAATTCCTCACGAGACACAAAGTTAAGAAAATTTAAAGCCCAGTTCACTGCAAAATAATTATGATGATTTTTGATCAGCCCCAGCTCTTCCAACAATCTTTAAGTTGCGCACGATAACGGCTTTAAAGATAGTCTTATGAGATAATCCTACACTGTGTGGTGTGGTGTCTTATAAGTGCTCAGATATGCTCAGGATTGCTCTGATCATGAATTCTTGCTTCAATTATGTTGGATCTTCTTGATCTGATTTTCAGGGACAAACAAGCGTGCTATTGAATGGGATGTGTAGCCAATCAGAAAGCTAGATAACAGAAGCAAACCACATGCTCCTCCTCCATATAGTTTGTTTGCATAAAACAACGGGGAACATTTGTGAGTGAAAGCAGTTTGTTTGTAGTTTGTATTTGCACACACCACACACTATACAAACAAAGCTGTTACCTCCCTGATATTTCATCTCTGCGTGTACGGTTTTTCATTCTTTGGAAATCATCTGACATTTAAAAAGTCCTGCAGTGTGGACAAGGCCTTAGCCCACTTTGGGAGGGACCAGGGAACAATCAAAAGGGGTAACTGTAACTAAAATGTCATACAAACCTATTCATTGGGATTCCGATGGAAACATTTACATTTTTTGTGTTTCTGTCTTGTCACAAACACAACACACAGACCCCACACCCACCCACCGTAGAGTTAAAGAAGAAAGGGCAAAATACTGTTTTTATAATTGGTCCTGAATACAACCAAGTAATTCAACCCGGGAAACGGTTTCAACCTCCAGAGTTGCTCCGCCTCTGTTAAATGTCTGTGCAGCTAAAGCTCGTATAGAGCTAACACAACCCAAAGACATTGTAGAGCTACCACCAAGCCTGTTCTTGACTAACTCCAAAAATGCCCCCCCAACCAGCAACCACCCTCATGCACCTTACCCACCCCAAACACCCTGATACCCTTCCTTACCCTTTCCCTAATTTATTCCATGAATCACTCCCTACCCAGTATTCCCCTCCAGATCCATCCTTCCATTCTTTTGTTTTGGTTTCCTAAAGCCACGTGGATGTGCTGTGTTTTCCTCCCACATACTCCGGGCACTCTGACCGTGGCACCGTTACTGACTCTTTCATTTAGATTTGCACCACACTGCTCATACACCTGTATGAGTATAGCAGTGATGGGCCAGCATTTTATTTCATTACTAACATCAACTGTTTATCCTGCTGTTTATTTATTTATTGTTTTGAGACAGTCTGAACGCATGGTCACGCTGGTCTGCTGGTCCTGCATTGAACTCTCTTCTTCCTGCAGCTCGATGAGTCGACTGAACATGCGATTCACACCTGTTTTCTGTTTGTTTTTATTTATTTATTGCAGCTCAGTTTCTTGCAGTTGATGTGTCCCTCCACTTCCATGCCATGTGCCAAATGTCATTGCTGTATACATCTATGGTCTTTTTAGAGACTGAAATCACAACTGAAAGTTTAGATTTCCATGAAATTTGTAAAGATTTTGATAAAGATGTGCAAAACTATGAATATGCTAATGTTGATTACTTATGGTCAGTTTTTTTTTTTTTTTTTTTTTTTGTAATTTCAAAACTCCTGAAGCTGTTTAAACCTGTAACATGGGTGGATCATGGCCACCCTCAGCTTGTTCTGCTTTGCGTCTCACATTAGCATCCACTGCTTTTTGTCCTGTAGGGCACATCCTCGCAGTGGATCAGTCCAAACCAGTCCCACCAGTACACCTATGTCCAGTAGAAGAGGGAGACAACTCCCACAGCTTCCACCCACAGGAAAGGAAAGAAGTAAGTCTGTTAGATGTTTTCTGTCCATCGTAACTGTCTACGAGACCTAAATACATGCTTGCTGCTCAGTATTTAAAGATCCTTTGACTTGATGATCCAATCCTGAGTCTCAGGAAAGGCTTTGTTTTGGAGCAGCTGCTTCCCTCTGGATTGATGAGGAAGGATTAGTATTTGCTGATGGAATCTGCTCCTGGGTTTCTCTGTTACATTTCTACACAGCTCTTTTTTTTACGTCACCCACAGAAGATGGAGATGATGGAATGCAGCCATATGAGGGTTTGTATTTGATAGTGTGGGTTTAGTCTTTCAGATAAGAAGCTGCGTTTGCTCTGAAAGCTAAACACGGTCTACAAGAACAGTTGGCAGAGCTCAGCAGAGACACACCTAAGTTGGGAGGTCGTTTTTATCTGTAGGTCTGTTTGGATGTTTTTGTTTGATCTACTGATGCTCGGATGTCTCTCCGATTTGAGTTTTACTCCAAATACCAGTGCTGGGGCATTCACAAATGAATCAGATCTTTCTAACGGCTCTTCAAAATGAACAAACGATGAGTTAGACTGTAGAGAACCATTCATTATGTCTTTCAGTAGTGAAATGAATGCTTGCCCCCCCCCTCCACCACACACACACACACACACACACACACACACACACACACACACACACACACACACACACACACCTTCCTGACTGTAAAATGACTGCAGTAGCTTTGCAGTGTCCAAATGCTTTTTGGGTGATCTCATCAAAACAGTCAGACAAATGTTTCGTGACTATCAAAATCCATAAGAACGTCCAGCAGACGGCAGAAGTTACTTTATGCTTTGTGTGAACATACTCAGAGGACAATTTACATCATCAAACCAGGCGATGAACGCAAGGAGAAGAAAATAGCTGTGAGTTTAGTGGCATTCACATCCTTGTTCCAGGATGAGGGAAGGAGAAATAAACATGGAGAAAACCACTATAAAAGTGAGCGTGTGGAAAGTGGCAGCCACGCTGGGGGAGAAGAGATTCTGCCGTGATGTCATATGTGTGACTTCTGATTTGTAGACTTTTAACTGTGAATTTTATAAGCGAATAAATCTCAAAGGGATCAACATAGTCGAAACACACATTCATATTTAGCATTTAAATTGAAGTGCAACAAACGTGTGGTTCAAGACTTAAGGCAAAGTGGACCAAAACATATATTTTATTTACTTCTACTAAACATATTGTTCGTTCAGGGGACTCAAGGGGAGGAGACATAGGCTCCCTGTTGCTTCAGAATTTTATGTCATCCAGTTTGCATTGTGCAGGTGTGTGTGTGTGTGTGTGTGTGTGTGTGTGTGTGTGTGTAGCAGAAACTATAACATTTCTACGAAAATTTCTGCTAAACTCTACAAGTCCTTGTTGTTCTTTGACTAGTAGCAACAAGCTAATGTTTTAATGACGTGTGTTCGTTATTAAGTGGGAGTAGAGGAGCAGAGCGGGACACCTGAAGCCCACACCGGTCACAAAGGTGTGTTCATTTAGACAGATTTTTTTATTCAGCAAAAAAAAAGGTTTGTGGTTATTTGAAGAAACAATAAATAAGCACCTAAGTATTAAAATAATGAGCCCTGGATGGAGGAAGTAACAGGCTACGTGCTGTTTTACATTCAACCACAAGCTTGGATGAACAAAGTTTCTTTCATTCTGATCTGGTTGTTTAATGTTGATGCTTCTGTTTGGAACTGTGTGCTTTTATTTGGTATGCTTGTTGTCTAAATACACAAATAAATTCATTGACAACATTATTCATTACATACAACTCAACTGTATTTAGAATATGTATTTTTCTGAAAATGCTCAATCCCCCTCTGGTCTTGGTTTGGTGGTGTGTTTGTGTGCAGATCTGAGGATATATATTTGTATTTGACATCATAAATCACATTATGGTGATTAACAGTTATTCCAGATTCCATAATCTCAGGGTTTGATCGACCTCATTATGTCTCTTTATTAGCTAACAGCGAGGACAAACCCCACGCTCCACCGGTCAATGGAAGGAAAGGCAAGTCCTCTTAATAGACGTGTGAGATTGCTGTGAAAAAAATCTTCATTTTATTTATGTAAATATTTATTAGCTAATTTTTTTTACCATTTCTTGGACTCAATTAGATTTATTTCTGTCACGAACCTGTTGTGGGGGAGGTTGGACCCAAGGTGCAGGAAACCCAAAACCACACAGAGATTTGCAGAGTACAACAAATAAAAACACCTTTATTCCAAAGACTAGGAGGTGAAAGAACAAACAATCCAAGCTTCCAAAAAACCAGAGACAACAAAAAAAAAAAAAAAAAAAAAAAACTACTAACAGGGATAGAGCACAAACCGCAAACATGTTGACAAGACAATGACCCAACTAACACTGAACAACAAGACAGGGTTTTATACACCGAGGGCAGTGATCAGGAGACGAGGAGCAGGTGAGTGGGGAGAGAGAACTGAAGGGAGACCGGTGAAATCAATAAACTAAATGGGAAGAGAAAACAAAGCTTTGGAGGGGATTAAACCATAACCTGTAAGACTATACATAAATAAACCTAAACAGAAGAATAATGGCACAGGAGAACCAAAGATAAATAACTAATGACCTAAGGAGCGACAGAACTAAATACATTGAATGGCAGGGGAGACTAATTAACCAAGTGGGGAAGGAACATATAAGTACTAAGGGGGGGAAACTAAACTATTATAATCATACAATACCAAGGATAGGAAAGCTAATACACTCCAAACAAGAACTTAAATAGGGGGGGGGGGGGGGGGGGGGCACAGAGCATGACAATTTCTGGTTGTCTGATCAAATAAGTGACCTGTAACTGATATCAAAATAAACAGATGGACAAATCTGTCTTCTGCTTTATTACAACTTTTTTTTTACCTCATCAAATTAGAGCTCACCAGGCACTGAGTTTTCAAGCCATACACACATGTTTTTTTCATGCAGAGCCTCAAGAGCACCGGTTTTTCTTGTTTTGGTCATTTTATGAACAAATTGTAGCTTTTTAAGACAGGTTGGACAGCTGGTGAGTATACATAGTACACATAATCTAAAAGAGGAAAACTATAATATTTCATATATTCCAGGTGATGCTGCGCTGTTGATGGGCTGCAGTGTTATCTCACATTTGACATGAGAGACAGTTACATGTGTTGGCCAGCAGATGGAGCAATACTCATAATTTCTGAATCAGAGTTGATCATTTCTGCCCTTGAGTGGTTGAGGTCTTCCTGATTCTTACTAATCTTGTTTTTTTTAATTCTACAGAAAATAGCATAGAAAAAAATCCTATGATGCAATTCATCATAAGAAAGCCAGAAATGGGAAGAAAAAAAATCTAGCAACACACCTTGTGTTTGATCTTCAATAAGTTTTATTGATAATCCAAGATTCCTGGCATCATTGAAGTGTCTAAACCAGTGAGTGTGTGTGCATGTGTGTGTGTGTGTTCCTTGTAGAGGTAACTTGGGAGGACCAACAGCGAGGGGTGAATGGTTCTCTGTTTGACGGTGGGTCACAGCCAAACCCCTCCCTCACTGACCCAGGTTTGTGGGTGTGCTGGTGAATTTATGACTTAAAGATTGCTGTGTTTTGAAGTGTTTTACAAGCCATTCAAATGAGTTCATAATCAGTAATCAACCCTTTGACTTCAACAAAGCCATGAAAATGTAGCCTTTTCTATTCATCTTGCCTTATTTTAAATGAAACGGGGTCATAAGCTGTCCCTCCAAAACAGTTACAGGCATCATTTCACACTTCTGAATATTAACCTTACAACCTGAGATTCGACCAAATGTAACAAGAAAAGTAAACAGCTTTGGGATACTAGAGGGAGGATGGGTAATGCATAACAGCATATCATCAGCACAAAGAGAAACTTTATGGAGTACCGTATTTTCACAACCATAGGGCGCACCGTGTTATAGGGCGCAGCTTCAGTTACGGGTGTCTTTTTGGTACTTAACTCATACAAAAGGCGCACCAGGTTATAGGGCACGGGCACAGTAAAACGTACCGGTAAAACATCTGTGCGGGCTCGGGACTCGGAACATATCAGTGCAAACCAGACACTGTGAAAATTATAAACAGCCAAAAGCATGCTTCACTTTACTGGTCTAGTCCTGGTTCAGACCTGGTTTAGAGTGCACGTGCACTTCCTCATTGCGTGCGCTGACGGCTCGTGCTCTTCTAATGGGCTCGACACACGGGAGGCAACTTTGCCTCTCCCCCATTCATTTTCAATGAGACACGCGCGACAAAGCGGTAATCGTGGGTCTCCCTCCTACTAAAGCCAGGCGTACACCGGGAGTGCTGCAGGAGGACACACAGGGATTTATGGGTGTTGGATGAGGAAAACGAAATAAAGAAAGTAAATCTGTGTTTTGTGATCAGTTTCATTTGACATGAACACGACAAGCACGCTTTCTTGACAATCTTTGTGAGTAAAAAACGTGTAGAAATAAAAACGAACAGTGTGTGTTATCAGGGAAATAGTGGGCGAGCAGTGTTGATGCATGATTGTGCATGCGCCGTGAGCGGTTCTGGTACTTTTTGGGTCGTAGCTGCTCGCAGCGCTGCTTCAAGCGCTGACGTGCTGTGTTGAAGTTCAGAATGTGTTTAGTTGGTGGATTTAACCACATAAACTTTCCACATGATCAAAATCATGTGTGCTATCAATTGGCCTAAGAAAATAGTGTGATTTGAATTGTGTTTTATTAACTCTCTGGCAGTGGTGGTTCTACATGGAATTACTCCCCGGGCGAGGCCCCCTTTGAGCCCCCCCCCCCCCACACACACACACACACACACACCACCACACTACCCCACCTGCACGAACACACGCATGTTTTATACAAACAGGCATGTTTTATTAGAACGACTATTGACCATTAATTTTTCTAAATTGCACATATTTACATTAATTAGTATGAAGCTGTCAGAATGTAAAGCAATATACATTATATACTGT